GGAAAACATGATATTTTATTTCCTTTGCTTGTAATTTTTAAAGTTAAATGTTTCATCTGTTTCCTTGTATATGTAACCCTTCTGCTGGGCACTGGGCACCAGCAACAAGGGCCAGTTCAATTTTGGGGCCTAAATATATTTTACCTTGGCTCAACCCCCTACCCAGACCACATGGGAAACACTAAATAGCTTACTAGAGTGTCCTGCATTAACAAAACTCCTTTCTTGCAAGGAGTGTAAACACAGAGGATAAATTTATTACAGAAAGCTAAGACAAAGGAAAGAAAAACACTAAATACCATTTAAAACACTACCAAGGCATAGTTCATAGATTGCACCCTCTTGAGGAGGCTTCACCCATGCCCAGGCAGTCTGGGACTTAAGGCTCACACAAAAGCAGTTTCAGGGGCTTGCACCCTTTTATCTGCCCTTCAGCAATGGGCTAGAGAGGGGGGCTTCACTGGAGAGTCCCTTGAGCTGCTCCTTGAGTTTGCTGGGCTGCAGGAAGCTGCTAGAGGGTGCGAGTCCTTCTGTGTTGCAAAGGGAGCCTTGTTGCTCCCTGCAATGCTTTAGGTTGATCCCAACTTCCACATGGTGGCATGGAGGAGTTAACTGTGGCCCCAGACAGCATGCTGCACTCCTAGTCTCAATCCCAGCTCTGCTGGGCAGAAACTGCAAAAAAAAAAAAAAATCTTTGAAGGAGAGGGCAGGCCTACCTCACTGGGCCTGAACTGGGCAGCAAAAGCTGGCCAGGCCTATATTGCACTGAGGCCTGAACATATAGCTGGGGTTCAGCCATACAGCTAGGCTGAAACACCATAGCTGTAGTAGAAACAGCGGATAAAAAAGGCCTGGGTTTATGACTGCAGCCTGGATATCGTCTCGCCTATACCCCATGCTGAGATGATATAATTTCAAAACAGAGGGGGCCAGGCCAGGCCCCTGTAGCCAGCAACTGCCAGGACCTATTCCTGGGCAGCTTGCTCAGGGGTTAATACCTCCATGGCATTAACCCACTTAAGGAAAAAAGAAAAGAGAGAGGAAATAGGAGTCTCAAACTACAAGACAGACTTTGTCTCCCTGTACTGGAGACTTCCTTTCGAATAGTGTTTGCTTGCCTCTCCACGAACAAGGGGTGAGACCCCTCCACCCCCCGTGGGGACCAGGTTTTCTGGTCCCAATGTAGCCGTGCACCTCTCAGCAGCCCCAGGAGAAAGAGGGAGAACCTTAGAGAGCAGTTCTTATATACCTGGTGTGACATCACCGAAGCCTCATCCAACCAGGGAGGGGGCCACGTTTTAGTCTTTCTCCCCACCAGTCTGCCTGAAGAATCCCATGTTCCCTCTGCCCAATGAGGACAGAGGGTTTAACGTATTTTGGCCAGATTCAGGCCCCAGGTTGCCATGTGCTGAGCACATGGCCAGAACAACAGGGGTCATCTTGCCCATATCAAAACACACACAAAAAACACCACAATATACAACCTAGTGTGTGTGAGGGTGTTGCATGCATATACTTTTCCAGCTCTGGTACAACAGCTGTTGTACCCATTGAGTACGTCCCCATGTGCAGAAGCATGTGTTTGCTATCAGGGGCACAAAAAGCAGTGGCACATATTTCTGCTGCTGCTTTGGGCCCCGGGGCACGTCCCTGCATGTGTGCTCCAATGTGAACCAGATTGTCCTGGGTGGGGTACAGGAAGCTGGGCCCAGTACCTGTGCTGGCCCCAGCAGCCTTACCTGGGGTCTTCCCAGGGCAGCAGCAGTGCCGATCTGGCCTCATGGAGCCTGGCTGGCAGCCAGAGCATGGTTTTGGACAGCCAGGCTCCGTTTCTGGCAGTGCATGCTGCTGCCACATGCTGCACTGCTTTTTGCAACTTCTTTTTTATACAGGGACATCCTGGTGTCAAATTTTGGCACTGCATGACGCACAGTTGTACATTCACAGTGCACAGTTTGTGGTGCCACAAACAGGTTTGAGATGCTGCAAACCTCATGTGCATGCTCATCTGGACATGTGCATTGTGTCCATGGGCCTGATAAAGTAAGGGGGAGTTTTTCCACTGATTTCAGTTTGTTTTGATTCTGGCCCTATATGAATAAGTGCCTAACTGTGAATCATAATGCTTTTTAAGAACTTGGAATAATTTAAGGGGAGAAATGCTGCCTTTTGTGGCTTAAACAGTTTGTCATGGCCCAAATCTGGTTCAGGGAGGTTCCTACAGTTTGGTTGTCAGATTTGTGCATAGTGTACCGTAACGGTTTCATATTCTCTTTAGCCACATTTTCAGCAGTCTTGTAAGCAACCTTGTTAAGTGATTCATGGCTTTGTTATTGATCTGGGTATGTGCCAATTCTCTGGTGGATGATATGCATTCATTCATCCCTGCCATACTAGTCATAGACAAAGCCTTTTTCAAAGCATATTGCTGTAATAAAAATGTTTATGGTGAAAGTAAACTTGTGTGGGTCTAACTGCGGAACCACTTTGAAAAGCAACAATCAAAACTGATGACGAAATATGGTTCCATGGAAGAGATGGTTACAGCTGCCTCCACTTCCTGTTAGCCAGGCAAGCAGCCAAAGGAATTTTGCGTTGTTCCAAGAATTTGCTGGAGCCTGGAAATACCCTTTTCATAGCCAGTGGAGGCTTCCAAAGCGTTGGGTTTGCTTTAATTACTTCCATCAGTGGTCAGACTCGGGTTCAGAAACCTACCATAAACACACACAATACCATTTGCTTGGGGCTATTTTACCTCTATATGCAAATGGTTTACTTTGGCTACAGTCAGGTTTTGCACAGGTGTGGTAATACCGGTGTTTAGCCAATGTAATTGGGGAAAATTCCCAGAAAAGACACGGTCTTACATTTAACGTCCAGTAATGCACCTGAAAGCTTACTCCACTTTTCTCAGAGATCACTGCAATAGACACAGTGTCAGAAATAGGAAGGATAGAAGTGTGATGAGATACGGTAATGCAAGAATTCTTTCTCTCTTCCCCCCTCCCCAGCCTCTTAATGCTGGAAATGAAGCAGGTTGTAGCTTCAGTCTCAAGCACTGCTTCTCTGACCCTCTTCCAGATGCATCCAGACTGATCATTATTTTGTACTTTTTTTCCCCCAACAGCCCTTTTTTGGTGGCAGCACAAGCATTAATCAAATCTCTGGGAAGATTAAATATGGAGAAGAAGTGTTAGCAAGCCTCGATGGACACTGGGTAACTAATGATGGTCCAAGTTGCTGACAAGTTTAAAATATATCTGTGCATGGCAACAGGGGTGAGGGGAAGGACTTCAGCCTGAAAACTGAAACCATTGGTCACTTTCTCACTGTGCCAAGTGCAACTTCCTTCAGAATTTACCTCTTTGCCTTACCAAGCCATATCATTTACCAGCCAACACAGAGCATGGTGTGGAATGATTCATAAGACCTCTTAACCTGGTCCAGCTTAGATAACGGGAGCTTCAGTGTGCCTGCCTTTGTAGGACCTGAGACGAAGTCCATTGGAATCTGCATGGAGTCAATTTTCCTTGACTTCCATGGCCTTCAAATAGACCCTAGCGTATAGTTGATAGGTCGCTGGAGGTTAGTGGCTCTTGACACTTGCCACAGACCCTTGGCTGGGATGGTTTAGTGAGGGATTATTCTGCCTTCAGCAGTGGGCTGGACAGGATGACTTTATGACATCCCTTCCAGCCCTACTTATCTATGATCCTATGAACTTTTATTTATTTGTAAATAACTGTCTGATCCCAGTTATGTTAGTATTACAGCATCTCATGGTCTTTATCATGCTATTGTCCCAACACTTCTGTAAGACTAGGGTAAGCGTTGACAGCTTCCATGTGTGCCTGGCAGGAGAAACAACTGATGATTTTAATGGGCTTATATAGTATGTTCCAACTTTAACGTCACTTAACATTTCTCAGATTTAGCATGGTCTAACACTAATGTGTAGCTTCCTCCTTTACTCGGCAATGCTGATGTTAAAGTTATTCTGAAAGGGTTCTTTTAAACTTTTAGGGCATCTTTAAATGTGCTCTGTGGTGTGGGGGGTGCTTTCATTAAAGCAGCTCTCAGGAGCTCCTCTAATTAAAGCACCCATGGTATCATGTGTATTCAGCGTCCATGTTTAAAAATGGCAGTGGGAGTGCTTGTTCAACAAGCTTTAGTTAAAGCACCCCCACTGCCATTTTGAAGTGCAGGGACACTGAATATATGTTACTAACAGAGTCTGCTCCAACTTGGTCTAATTAGAAGGTTTCAGAGCTGGCATCAGGAACATGTATAGGTGCCCTTTGTGCTATGTTAGAATTTCTATGTGGTAGTTGTAAAATGAGAAAATAATTGTAATATTCATAAAAGTAATATATCACCTGAAGGCATAGTGCATCATGTGGTTAGGGCGGAGAAAACAGTGGATTCTGTCAGGGTGCAAGATAGACTTTGTATCAGAGAACCTCAATGCCACCACCAGCCCCCCTCATCCCCTTTTATTTACTGGTTTGTTCTTGTTGCTTAGGCTACTTGGCCTGTCCTATTAAGCCTGCTAATATAAGATATCACCTTACAAACAAATTGCATTAATTTTTAAAGCCCCACCCCCTGTTTCATGTTGGTTCAATTGGCAATTACACCTTTAACTAAAATGGACCATGTTCAAGGCTTCACCCATGCATTGCTTGCATCTCAAGGACTCTCTGTATCAGTACTGTATTCTGTTTCTTGGAACTCTTGCTTTGTGTGTGTGTTTTGTTTCACAGCACTACTTTAATTAACACCACACCTACCTTTACCCCAAATTTACAGTATCAGAACTAGCCTGGCCCTTATTTAACTAAAATCCTTAGTTTTGCTAAAATCTACATTACATAAGCATCCATTTCCTTTTCATGCCTTCTTGGCCACACTTGGAAGTTCAGTCTCCTGTTGGATAAGAAAAATCTAGCTCTGGGTGAGGAAGCACATGCCAAAGCTTCCCTAGCTCTGGGCTTTGATGGAGCAGCAGGTGATGACAGCTTTCACATGTACCTGACGGAGGACAAGCAAACAATGTCTTTTAATGGGTTTATACATACTGATCACGAAGTGTAATATTCTACCCATCAGCGCCTCTTCAAATCCAGAGCTCAAACATATCTCAGGGGGCCTCATTTCCTGACCTAGACCCAGTTCCTCTGTACTGAGGGGCTGGGTGTCCACACAAGGTACTCTTTTCACCTGTGTGGGCTTGTGGTGGGGAGGGGCAGCATGTGTTATATAGGGGCTGGAAAAAATCTGCAGGTGAAGATGTGGTTGAGGAAACTGTGTGGAGTAAATGAAACTGTAATTCAGCAATAGAAGTAGGCTGAGGTAGGAACAAATCTGAATCTGAGGTAGGTGAGACATTCTTCAACAGCCATTTCAGGGAAGAAATAGAGCAGCAGGAGATATGAAATGGAGCAGCAGGAGTCTAAAGCAAGTATGCATGATCTAAATATGATCTAAATAACATTCACAGTACGTTCAGAGGGCAGAATAGCACCAATGTACACATTGAGCAAACATAAGGTATGGTTCACTCTCCCTTTAGTGGATGTCATGCTGTTCACCATAACCTCTGTAAACTATCTAGCTTAGTTTCTTTTTGCTTGAGGCATTGCTGTGCCCATAGGCAGGCCTACAAAGTCACTTTATTAGGTGGGGACACTAAGACATTGCCAGTTGGCCTCTGAGCAGTGAAGTGCTCTTTGTAGCTAGTTGCCAAATAAATTGACAGAGAACACAGATGAAAGTCTAGTGGTATTTGAAGCACTAATTAATTGAAAGAACACAAAAATGCTGAGCAGGTGAATTGGTATAAAATTGATCTGCTTCCTCTGCTATTTATTTGGCCATCTCTATTTTGTGGTTTTGTAATCTCTTCTGTGCAGCTCTGCTAGGGTTTCTGCTGTAGTGAGGGCTCAAGGGAAGGGGACACAAAAGAGTTGACAGGGAGTTCCAGGGTGGTGAATTTCTAGCTCCTGTCTATGAGACTGGCCCCACTCCTTAAAGGTGGGGGGGAAGGGTGGCATAAATGTTAGCACCTATATAAATCCTTGTGAAAAGGTGAACTCTTGACCACCAGTTGGTGAATGTAATTCCTTTTCCCTCTGAATTTGGCCAGCATCTCGAAGTCAGGAAACTCCTGGATACTTTTGGGTAACTCCTAAAACATTCTGTGAGGCTTATTGGAAATTGGTAGGAAAAGGACCTTTTAGCTAACATTCTCCCCTCCTTTCAAGCTTCTGCTGAGGGTCCTCAGGATTATTTGCTCCTTTTGTTCTTACTGTCACTAACCCATGCAATTAATTTCTCCTTTCAGGATGGGGAAGTACATATAAATGACCTGAAAAATGGAAACACAGAAATATTTTGGAATCCAACCAGTGAGGTGCGGAGGCAGAGGCTGAAACGTCACATTGTACTATTTGAAGAACAAACTGAGTTTGAATCAGAGAGGTAAGCAGACAAATAGAAACCTCTTCCCACTGGTGGCTCTTCAGTTGGAATTTCAATAGAAGCAGGAGTGAAGGCCCTAAGTCTGCAGTGGGATATTGGATATATTATGGCCTGTGTGATATTTACAGGTGACCTTCATGGTTAATAGACGAGGAATAAAAGAAGCAATTTCCAAGGAGTGTTAATAATGGGTTAACAGGGTCCTAGCTCTCATAAATGGCTGAATCCACTGTTTTATAAAGTAAAATAAGATCTAAGACTCCCAGAGAATAAAGGAAAAATCTGTTTATTGACAACAGGAAATGATTATCAAAGGATGTGATCTATTTTCCATTCCATGGAGGGAGATAATGGTCAGATATTGCAGGGGGAGAGAGAGAGTCTTTTTTCTATAGGCCACAAAGAATGTTTTTATAGGCCAAAGTAGAGTGCCTTCATAAACTTGTGTCTGTGCATGCCAGGAGCAGGACCGTGCCAGCCTAACCCTGCTCCTGGCTCTGTCTTCAGAATGGGAAGGGGGGAAAGGGGCAGAGGGAGCTCATTCTAGGGGTTCCTTCCCCCTCCCATTCTGAAGATAGCTCTGGGGCTGAGAGAAGACAGGGGTAGAGCCAGGGGAGAGTGGCTGCAGACTCACAGCTGCTGTAAACTGCAGCTTGATCCCCCACCCCCTAGGACCCAACAGCAAATGTCTATTGGGTCCGGGGAAATGTAGAACTCATGGCATTTCCTGCAAAGCACCATGAATTCCAGCAGGGAGCTGCACTTCTGTCTGCACCTTGACTTCTACCCAGGAGGTGCTAAAATTTGTAGATTGCTTCACTCTTGTGTGCAAAGTAGAGAATTTTCTCACGTGGCTTAAAACTGAGTGTCTGCCTACCTGAATTATACATGCAAATATACGCCATTTTAATTCATTGCTAAAGGGAAATAATAGTTTAGGTCACATATGCCATTCTAGGAGCATGCAGATATAAGTTGCATTGAAATAGCTGACACTCCCAAGTGACAACTCCTGTCCTTTTAAAGCTGTTGAAGTTGTCTCTCCATAGCCATTAATATGCTGTGTTTGTGTTCGCTGTCCTGATAATACTTCCTCAGTGTTTAATGTCTGGCTGGTCCTGTCAGAATTCTTGTAGTTTATCTCAGCGGAGACTTGCTAAGGTTCCATCCAGCTGAATACATTGCTGGTTGAGAGGCAGTTATTGGATTTCCTGTGGGGGACGGGTTTCCTTCTAGGCTTTGGCAGCACGTAACAAGTGCGATAAACAAGGGAGATCAGAACAAGGCAACTGAGGAGAAATTTGTACTGGAAGAGGAGCAAAGGAAAGCAGCCCAGGAGCGGAAGGAGACTTGCAGTGAGTGGAAGCCGCTGCTTTTCCAGCATGATGCTGCTACCAATGAATGGCACTACAAATATGAGGAGTGAGTAACCCAAAGCATGCGTCACTCATGTATTCATAAAGAGTTAGGAGCAGACCTCCTTGTTTGGGTTCCAGTACAGAAATACAAGGGCTATAGATGTACAGCATGCACTGGCCAGCTGTTTCTGTTCGACCGCCGGCAATGTTCCTCTTGCCCTCAAACATGCTGGGCCTTCCCTACATCCCATGACTAAAATATCATTCCCTTCTCCTGTATTCTTCCTCCTATTTTTTTGGATAGGTGTTTCTCTATAAGAAAGGAGGAATAGCTAGAAATAGGGAGCTGGCTTTGGGATGTCTACTGCCTCTCTGGTACAAATTTGGGTTGAAGCTGTAGCTGTCAGAAGATGTTTCCATCTGGCTGGAGGTTTGGTGGATTGTGTGAATTGGGTCAATCTCTCAAGTTTTTGATGAGCATTTCCATGTTGTACAACTAGTGCTGCAACTGGTGCTTATAGGCACTCTTGTTAGCAGCCTTAACCCAGAGACCAAGGTTTTTAAAGTTTAATGACTGAATTACTATCAGACTGAAACACCATCTTGCTCTAAATTTGATACTTGTGGTTTGAGATACTTTGAGGCCATGGTGGAAACAGTCTGTCTGTATAAGACTTCCCTTCCACTCCCCCAACCCACAGTGCCACAGCGGCTCTACAGATTTCTCCCATTACCTCTGGAGGTTGAATATTTGCCTCTACATGCTTGGAGTTCATGCACTGCTTTTAACAAATGTGGTGAAGGTATGTGCGAGGGTGATTTTGTTTTTGTTTTTTAATCTGTTTTTGTTTCCAAAGTTTAAGGCCCTGGGACCCTCTAAATGACATTGCCCAGTTTGAGAAGGATGGGTTACTTCAAACCATGGAGAGGCACTTGCCCACAAGGATGTCATCCCACAAAACCACAGGCATAAACAACCAAATTGCACGACACAAGGTAACTGATGCTCTGGCCAAAAGCCTGTCTCTCAGAAATGTTTCTCTTTGCAGATGAAGAAAAGCTCATTTCTTTTTTCAGCATCTTTTTCTTAGAGGCATCCTTGGACTTTCATGTTTATTTTGATAACTGTACTGAAGCTAGTGGTGCTAATCTGCTAGTAGCTTTTGAAGGCATCTGCCTTGCCAAACTCCAGTTTGAATGATCAAGTTTAATTCTGCTGAGATGTGTTGTATTAATAATTGAGTGACTGCCAAGAACATTGTATGGATGTTTATCACTTACATCTATTAAGAGTTCTGATTTTTATTTTGATGAGGTTCTTTTTCCACCCTGTCTTGGACGGCCACAGCCGACTCGAGTTACGTTAGAAATTGGTCGTACGTTAGGGCGGGCTGGTGAATGGAGAGGCAGACACAACTTATTGGTTGTAAAAACTTTACTCACGCCGCTTGCAATCACGACGCAGGTGGTCCGGTCGTTGGAACAACCACACGAGTTGTTCCAGCTGGCGGGGCCCAAGCCA